ACATAATGTAAACGTTTTAAAAGTCTAAATATTAAGTATTTTTTAAAAATATAACAGAGCTAATATAAAAAAGATGTTATATTTTTGTTGAATATAAACATGATATTATATGTATTTTACAGATGAAGAAGAAGTAACAGAGCTAACCTTCTTTAGTTATTGTTCTAGACGAGGATGAATTTGGAGAAGAAACTATATAAAAAAAACAGTAAAGTCAGAGAAGGAAAATGGATTAAATAGTCAAACATATACATATATATGGAATTGATTACCGTATATGAGACAATTTTATAAGATTGGTGACATATAATATTTTTGGAAATCAATCATCAATCGATTAATAAGGAATTCGAAATTGAATCTCTACTAATTAGGTGTGTGATTATCTAAAGGAACCAATTATTTGGCAGGCAGTTTTGAAGGGAGAAATTAAATATCCTCCTATTTTTTGTTCCTACCAATCATTCTATCCATTTAAATGATGACATGTGTTATATTGGTATACTAAAATATCATTAAATGGATATTAAATGTTACAAATGTCACTATTTAATTGGGTAGGAGGATTTGTAGGAACAAAAAGTAGGAGGATATTTTCTCATATTTTTATAAAGTACAATATTATTTTCTGGTTATTTTTGAAAATGTACCAACATGCCCTTCTCTAGAAAACAAATGAAAGTTGTATATGACCAAGTAAAAAAATCAAACAAAATATTTTATCTATTTCTAACATCATACAGATAATGTAAACGTTTTAAAAGTCTAAATATTAAGTATTCTTTTAAAAATATAACAGAGCTAATATAAAAAAGATGCTATATTTTTGTTGAATATAAACATGATATTATATGTATTTTACAGATGAAGAAGAAGTAACAGAGCTAACATTCTTTAGTTGTTGTTCTAGACGTTGATGAATTTGGAGAAGAAACTATATAAAAAGACGGTAAAGTCAGAGAAGGAAAATGGATTAAATAGTCAAACATATACATATATATATGGAATTGATTACCGTATATGAGACAATTTTATGAGATTGGTGACATATAATATTTTTGGAAATCCAATCATCAATCGATTAATAAGGAATTCGAAATTGAATCTCTACTAATTCGGTGTGTGATTATCTAAAGGCACCAATTATTTGGCTGACAGTTTTGAAGGGAGAAATTAAATATCCTCCTACTTTTTGTTCATACCAATCCTTCTATCCATTTAAATGATGACACGTGTTATATTGGTATACTAAAATATCATTAAATGGACATTAAATGTTACACATGTCACTATTTAATTGGGTAGGAGGATTTGTAAGAATAAAAAGTAGGAGGATATTTAATTTCTCTTTTGAAGACATTTATATTCTAAATTGAATTTAATGAGGTGTTAAATAAAATCTGCTGGAACAAATAAGAAATATACATATGGAAAATACATTAACTAAAAAATGCTTAGAAAATGTTGTGTCCAATGCAAGGAGAAGAGGACGTGACAATAAGTTCTTTAGGCTAAAGGGAGTGGTAACACTCCTAGCACCTTGCCACGTCACCTTTTTGAGTGTCACTTTATTTTTTCCCTTTAACACCTAAACATAACATTTGGTAGAGAGTGGTAACACTCATAGCACTCCATTTGTTTATTTTCTTTTTTTATAATTTAATTTAATTACTTTATTTTAATAAACAAACAATTTTTATTTAATATTATATAAAATATATTTTTTGTATTTTTTTTGTAATTTAATTTAATTACTTTATTTTAATAAACATACATTTTTTATTTAATATTAAATAAAATATATATATTTTTAATATTACACAAACATTTTTTTGATTTAATTAATATGACATAATTTTTTTTTAACGGCAAACACTTCATATTAAATAAAAACGATTACAATAACTTAAAACACGATTTAATACTACTTAAGACCTAAAACACGATTTAATACATAAAAAAGCACACTTCATTATTAAAACTCACTTTATAAAAACACACACACACACATTAAAGCAACGTGTCTTCCTCCGAATACTGGCCTTCAAATTCGTATTCCGGTGACATATTTCGATCAAGATTGTCCATCGTCCAAAGATGATCGGTCAAATGGCGGCGAAGATCGGTATGGATTACTGCACTGTGAATTATCCTCATTCTTTGTATCCATTCTTGACCACCATATTGTAGTGGTTGTGTGTGTAAATTGGTGAAAGTATGGTTTAATTGGTGAGATGAAGACATTTTTTCTTAAACTGAGAGAGTTTGTGGAAAAGATATGGTATTTTGTGTGTATAAATTGGTGAGAGTGTAGTTTAATTGATAGTAGTTGAATATTTTTTTTTATTAAAAACATTTTTTTTAAATTAAATCAAAAGTAAGTAGTTGAGATATTTATGCATAAATTAGTTATGGATGGAGTCAACAAAGCAAACCATTGAATACGCACGGTTGAAATAAATATGCAATCCAAAGCAACCCATTTCAACCGGTCAAAACCCTTCACTGCTCTCTCTTTCTTCTCGCTTTGTGCATGGCGTATTTCATTTGGCGAGCCCCCTAGCTAGAGGTACACTACAACAAACGGGACCTATAGGGACGACAATTGTCGTCTCTATAGGTTCAAAAAGTCGTCCCTATAGCTGTCTGGGGCGATATGTCGTCCCGATAGCTCTTGTCTCCATAGCCCCGTCGCAATAGATCTGCATTGTCGTCACTAAAAAACTCGTCGCAATAGCACACCTATAGAGACGACATATCGTCTCTAAAGGGTTCGTCGCTATAATTTTCCCATCACCATAGACAAAGCTATAGAGACGACATGTCTTCTCTATAGATAAAGCTATAGAGACGACATGTCTTCTCTATAGATAAAGCTATATGATTTTTTCATGCCTCTTGCTTTTCTCTTCATCCTCTTTGGCAATTTCATCAATTATATCTGGTAAGCTGCATTATACATATTTAAAACCAAATCAAGTAAATATAATGAAAATAAAAATAGATATAAAACCAAATACATTTAAAAAAAATCACCTGTCAAGCTCTTTAGTGAACTCCTTTGTCTTTTTAGCTTCTGCTTGCATCTTCATTTTTTCTTTATTCCTAATCCTCTTATTCAAAACACTCGTGTTACCCTTTTAGTTTTAAATGGCCTGCATAGCTACATACCTTTTTTCAAGATCTGCATAGCTACATACTAATGACACTACAAAGTATTTTCTACAAAACTTGCTAATTATATTCCTCACACTTCATAAAATAATCCGCATACTTTTGCAACATAACAAGTCCTGAAAACATTAACTTATTACTTTTTAGTTTTTCACATGAGCACTGTTCAAACAGAAGAAAAAAGAAAAAGAAAAGCAAATTTACCAAAAAGGGAAAGTGAGCTTCTGAAAAAATTAATCCTCTTCCATGGGCACATCTGGAATATCAAATCTGTATTCATCTATAGTTTTATTCATCACAGAAACAGGGGAAGGTGATACAAGAGTTAAGGAGAATGAATTCACATCACACAAAGATTTATAAGGGTCTGTTTCATTGGATGGAATGGAATGAGTAATTACATTCCATTCTTTCTCTGATTCCATCATTACCAAAATAAAATATGAGGAAAGAGTAAGTAAAACTTTAATTAAACAAAAGGAAGGATATATAGAGACATAAGATCATCCTCCTTCTCCCCACGGATTCGGCTATTATTCAGTTCTCTTAGAATTTCAGGTGTCACCTGAAAAAATTTCGTGTTACCCTTTTAGTTCATAATTTTCAGAGTATAAGTTTAATATAAATCATACATAAACCATTTTTTCAAGGAGATGTGCATAGCTACATACCTTTTTTCAAGATCTGCATCAACCATTTCATCAGCATCACCATCACTCTCTTTGTCCGCATCAAGAAAATACATCTGTTAATTTCTAAATCATTAGGTACACACATAAGTATTTAAAGGGACAAAATTACAAAAGAATAAAGCTACACACATCTTCCTCATCAATGGCTTCTCCATGAACAGTTAGAGGAACTGCATGAGCTAATGAATCCTGCAAAAAGTTAAAAACATGAAGTAATTAAAATGGAAGTCATTATTCATCAATAGTTTCAACAGGCTATTGGGAAAAAATCATGTATAAGAAAATGACCTGATGACTTTCAGATGATGGATTGTATGAGCATCTAGGTGGCTCTACTTCCATAGCAGGAATCACAATTTCAGAGCACTAGGATGAATAATCCATGTCAAGCTTTTGTAATATTAATAACTTTGAATAAATATATAAATCATTCATACATATATACATATCATTTCACTCTCTGAGATGAACATTGATGTGTAAAGACCAAGAGCATGGATGCCAGATTTGTATACATCCAAATGCTTCCAACCCTTTGACTGTTTATATCGACCATATTCTTTCTGCAATAATAAACAGTTTCACATATAAAGTATAAACTTTTAAAATGCTATTAATGAAAGTAGCATACCCGTGGATCAGATTCTACAACATCTGGCCCTGCTTGATTAGTCTCACTACCTAACGCTCCAATTACTAGATTAATCAATGATTTCTTAGTGATTTTGGACTTATAAACTGATTCTGTTAGGTATATTTCTACAATTTCATTTCACTCATAGCAATCAGCTCCCCTAATCCAAGTAAGATCTTATGAACTCCGAGAACAGAACAATCAAATCATGATCATGTAACGACATGCAATACACAAACTAACAACGACGAATCATAAAGGTACACTAATAGTTCCGAATTCTAATACCTTTGCCGTTGTTGTTCTGATCGTCGCCATTTTGAGGAGACGGTGGCCTCCGAGGAGGAGGATCTCAGCTGGAACAATAACAGATCAGTGACATACGTTTATGATTTTCGAAATTGGATGTTGTTGGAGAGTGAAGAAGCAGTCGTTGTCACAGGGGAATTGAAGCATCACCGATAGTGAAGGTGGTTGTGCTGTGGAGTCGGGCTGGTAAAATGGCCGTCGATTTCGTATCCGGAAAGCAACAAATCTTCGATCAAAGAAGAGAGAAGAGTGAAGGGGAGACTGCGATCACGAATTACCAAAGGAGATCGGCAGTACCAACGCTGACAATGACAGTTGTTGCTGCTGAGGAGGCCGGAGCTGTATATTAGGCGATCGTCCCATGTGCCCTGTGGTGTTCGACATATACCAATCGCCGATCGAGAGAGAGGAAAATGTGAAAACAGTTGCGATTGAATGAGAGAGGGGGATGATGTATTCTCGATTAGGGAGTAGAAGCCTATGGGACGACCTGTCGTTTCCACACCTTAGACAAAAGGACGTCCCGCGAAAATTCCCACCTAACTTGTAGACCCGCCAACTATCTGCGTAACCTATTGCAACAACAGGTCGTCTCTATAGATTAACGAGTCAAAAAGTGTTGGTCAACTCTATAGAGACGACATGTCGTCTCTATAGATGATCTATAGAAACGCCTTTTGTGGTCCCTATAGATGCTAATTCTTGTAGTGGTAGGGGGTGGTGTTCTACATTTTTGGCGAGTTAAGCGAGTGGCTTGGCGAGTGCCACTCCGCTTAGCCTTATTTATTAAGGAGTATTAAGGAGGATAATAATAATATTTGTTTAAAAGATGATATTCATCAAGCAACACATTTTAAGATGAAATTAAAAAATCCAAATAAAATGAAGTCATAAAAAGTCATAACCCTTCTCGTCTACGGTGTATCCCAAGCTTAACTTCGAAAACCCACATCCATTACTCCCAAAACACGAATAACGTGAAGAATTGCAGGTGTTTGAACTCTTCTTCAGATCTGGCTGGAAATCCAAGGCTCTGGCAATTACATTTTCGACCCCATGAACTCCCACCTCCGCCGTGGATACAATATTCATCGTTTTCTCTTGCCACCTCCAACATCAATCTTCCAAATCGAATCAAGGTTCTTCCATGACCTGAAAGATAAATATATTTACATCATCACTAAGTTTCTCTGACGAGGTACTCCAATCACGGTTCTTTGATGGGAATTTTAGTTAGAAGCAAATCAGTGTTGATTAATCATGTTTTAGTTAGTTCAAACTGATGTAGTTGAACAACGCCAGTCACTAGTCTGATGGCAAAGGGAAGATTATCATGGTCTTCTTCAAATAAGTATGTATCCAATATTTCTTTGTTATTTCTGGCGAGCTACTGTAACATACCTCGAGTGAATTCATGACCTGAAGACTACATTAGATCCTGCTAATTTCAGTGATATCAAAATCGAATCAGTGCTTTTTCTATTTGTACACTTAGAAAAAACATTTGTATCATCATTATTCATTTTGAGCTCGCCAACAGATTCTTTCAGAGATCAAGAGAATTAAAAAGAGGTGTGAAGGTGAAAAACTTAGTATCATGGTTACAGGACATGGTCATTTTAGGACCTAACGGTGAAAAGAAAAAGTTGAACTGGGAATGTAATTTTGGACAATCACAAGGATCATTTATGTAATTACTCTAAGTTTTATAACCATTTAAAAAAGGACAAGTTTTAAATAAGCAATCCCAAATATCCCTTAAATTGCAAGTTGTGGGTTTGGTAGGTTTTATTGGTGATTTTTGGGGTTGACTTTCACGTTCTCAGTATTGAACCATCGTTCTGAGGATTATACACTTATCTCCTCTGAGTTTCTTTGCAATTGTTTTGTATAAATTTTCTCCAACAAAGACTTGAATTTATAGGATCCTTCAAGGCGATTTATCAATGGCATCTTCTTCTGCTTCATCCATCCACAAGAGTTTTAAATATGATGTATTTTTGAGTTTTAGAGGCGAAGACACTCGTACAAATTTTGTTGATCATCTTTATTATGCTCTTCAGCAGAAAGGAATTTACACTTACAAAGACGATGAGAGAATCAAGAAAGGGAAAAGGATACACGATGAGCTCATTGGATCCATTGAAGATTCAAAACTCTACATCATTGTTTTCTCAAAAAACTATGCCTCTTCTTCCTGGTGTTTGGATGAGCTTGTGAAGATAATGGAATGTCACAAGACCAACGAGCATACTGCCTACCCGGTATTCTATGATGTGGAGCCCTCTGAGGTCCGCAAACAGAGTGGGGCAGTTGAAAATGCCTTTGCCAAACATGAAAACAAAGAGGCTGCTGGGAAATGGAGGGATGCTCTGAAAGAAGCAGCGGATCTGGCTGGGTGGGGATTGAAGAACACAGCTGATAGGTAATTTTTATCACATATTTGTATTATTCTTTGAATTTGAACCAACAAGAGCCTGAACTAGATCATGGTAGTTTCTCCTTAATAAAAAAGAAAATTTTTACTCAAACTCGGAATATGATATTAAGCATTACCAAACCACCAACGCTGTCAAATGTGACTCAATAGATTCGGCACCCAACACAGCCAAATTATTTTGGCCGAAAATCACGATAAATAATTTATAATCGGCTTTCAATCTCTATATTTTCTTAATGACAAAAGCATAATTCATCATAAGCCAAAAAATTGGGCTAAATGGAAGATATTAGACTTTATGAAACATTACTTCAACTAGGTTTTTGATGTCAGTATAATAGTACCCATATAGCTTTAATAAAGAATAATTTTAAATGTACAATGTTGTAATAAGAAAAAGTGGAAGTACAATGTTGTAATAAGAAAAAGTGGAAGTACAATCCTATAATTAAGAAAAAAGTAGAAAAGACATTGCTATTCTTGCATTCAGCCGTAAAAAGTTTCAACTTCTTGTTATTTTAATTTCTTTAACTAAGTTTACCACAGATGTAAAAGGCCCGGTCATGGCATCTCATGTTGTATTGTCAATCTGACTCAACCTGTCTCGGAATATTAAACATGAAATTGATTATACGACTATCGGACTATGTTATTTCTTCTTACACGTTTGTATGCTTTGAAAGTCAATATTGCTGATGTGAACATTTTGGGTAAGCTTATTGAATCTCCTTTAATATACAGGCACGAAGCTAAGTTCATCCAAAAAATTGTTGAAGAGCTTTCACTAGAGTTAAGAGCTTTCGATTTCAACATTGATGAAAAATTTGTAGGCATGGAGACCCGGATCAATGATGTTTTATTATCTTTGGGTACTGGTTCTGATGATGTTTGCATGATTGGGATCAAGGGAATTGGAGGTGGTGGGAAGACAACTCTAGCCAAGGCTGTTTTTGATCAAATATCCTTTCAATTCGAAAGTAAAAGTTTCGTTGAGAGTGTTCGAGAAGTTTCAAAAGCTTCTTTGTCCGGTTTGAAGTCGTTGCAAAATCAAATCATTTCCGATGTCTTAAATGATCGGGGCATCTCCGTAAGTAGTGTTCATGACGGGATAAACATTATGAAAAGGAGGATGCCTGGTAAAAAGGTTCTTCTTGTTCTAGATGATGTGGATCATATAGAGCAGCTTGAGGTGTTAGCCGGTGAGACGAATTGGTTTAAGCCAGGAAGCCGAATTATCATTACAACAAGAGATGAGCAGGTGCTTGTAGCACACAGAGTGAAATCGATTCATGATGTCAAATTGTTATCAGAAGAGGAAGCAATTTGCCTCTTCAGTAGGTATGCATTTGGGAGAGTGATTCCAAATTTAGGGTACGAAAAACTAGTACAAAGAGTAATATATTATGCTGCTGGTCTTCCTTTAACGATCAAAGTTTTGGGTTCATTTCTCTGTGGTAAGAATGAGTTTGAGTGGATAGATGCCATAGAAAGACTAAAAACAATTCCACTATTAGAAACCCTGAAAAAATTAGAATTAAGTTATATCAGTCTAGAGGAGGATTACAAGGAAATATTCCTAGATGTTGCATGTATACTAAAAGGATGGTCGAAAGCCAATGCAATCAAAGCGCTTGAAAGCTGTGGATTTCATGCTAGAAGTGGTTTAAGAGTTCTTGAGCAAAGATCTCTCATAACTGTTGATCATAGTGGGTATCTGGGCATGCATGACCGTGTTGAAGAAATGGGCAGAAATATTATTCGTTGTTCACACCCCGATAAGCCTTATAAACATAGTCGATTGTGGATTAACAAGGAAATTGAAGATATATTGTCTAATGACTTGGTAAGGATCAAGCTTATGTCAAAGTTGGAGATAAAACATTTTCATTTATTACAATGCAAGTTTCATAGTGACTTCTTTTGTATTGCAGGGTACTGAAGCAACAAGATATATACAATTTTACTCGTGGAAAGTCAGTGCGGAAGTTGTGATGAAAGGTCTTAGAAAGATGAAGGAACTTAGATTTCTTCACGTGTCAGGGGGATCTTTTGAGGCAAGTAAATGTGGTTGTTCTTGTTGGAGTTGGAAATATAATAACTTTTCAAATGCTTTGCGGTATTTGTTTTGGATCGGTTATCCTTTTAGGTCATTACCCAAAACATTTAAAGCAGATAATCTTGTTGCACTTGAGATGGCTCACAGCAAAATCATACATCTTTGGGAAGGGGGAGAAAGAAAGGTATAATTATGATTGGTTGATCCTTTTGCATCACTCATGTGAATGCTATACATCCATTGCTTTGTGATTACACCGATATTTATCGTTTGTTTTTGCTTATATTAGGTTCTTAAACAAGCTGAGATTCCTTGACCTCAGTTATTCAAAGTTGAGGACCCTTAATCTTTTGCTTACTCCAAATATCGAGACATTGAATCTTAAAGGGTGTGGTGATTTGGTAGAGCTTTACGAGCTTGCTAGATGTTTAAAGCTCATAACTATCGACCTTAGTTATTCAATGTTGAGGACCATTAACCTTGGGTCAACTCCCAGTCTCAAGCTGTTAGATCTTGGAGATTGTTGGGGTTTGGTAGAACTTCACATGCCCGGTAGATATCCAAATCTAAGATCCATAAAGCTCAATAATTCAAAGTTGAGGACCCTTGACATTGGACCGACTCCGAATCTCGAGTATTTAGATCTTAAAAATTGTAATGATTTGGAAGAACTTCACATAGCCGATGGATGTCTAAAAAAGCTTGTCTACTTAGACTTGAGTGGTTGTTTGAGGTTTAAATCTTTTAAGTTTAAAATAAAGAATGATACTTTTCCTACCAATAATGATTCTTCTTGTAGTGAGAATGAATCACTTGAGATTGGTCCTTTAGCTGAGTTGTATCTGATAGTGGAATCCCTAGATGGTTGCCCATTACACCCCGGCAATAATTTGCCAAAGTTTCAGTTTACATGTTTTTATAAAGAAGATCGTCCCTTACTGACTAGAAACCTTGAGAAGCTTATTTCTGTAGGTCTGTGTGCTTGCACCAACCTTGATGCGTTTTCAAGAAGCATTTGTGGGTTACAACATCTAAGAGTGCTTAAATTCAAAGGCAGTATTCTCGAGGCACCCAAGGACCTTGACCAGCTAGAATGTCTAGAGAAGCTAGATTTGTCAGATACAGGGATAACAGATATTCCTGAGAGCCTTTGTATGTTGAAACATCTGAAATCTCTCAAACTTGATTTCTGTTTCTTTCTTGAGAAGTTACCTAAGGATCTTGGCCGATTAGAATGCTTAAAGGAGCTAATTTTGTCATATGCAAAGATTAAAGATCTTCCTGATAGCATTTGTATGCTGAAACATCTTGAATTTCTCGAACTTTTTAATTGTCGGTTACTTGAGAAGTTACCTGAAGATTTTGGACAATTAGAATCTTTAGAGAATCTCAACCTCAATCATTGCGAGTTATTACAAGATATCCCGGACAGCATCTGTGAGATGAAATGTCTAAAACGTCTTAGTCTCAACTATTGTATTCAACTTGAGAAATTTCCCGAGGAACTTGGACATTTAGAATGTTTAAAACAGTTAGATTTAGGAGGTGTGTACATAACTCATCTTCCACAGAGCATCTTCTTGTTGAAAGGAGTGCGTATCTATGGGTCAAGAGGGCTTCTTCAGTCATTTGGTTTTACATTCGAGATACAGACCACAGCTTACGAAGAGTTGTGTTACGTAATGATACAAGGCCAGGAAAAGACATCCAGACTAAACTATTATAGCAAGTACTCTTTCTGTTTTCTATTGATAATCTTACTTTGGTTTGAATTTTGAAATTGATATGACAATAATTTATTTTTAGCCAAAAATTATATAATTATATAAAAGGAAAATACATGTACTTTACATACTTACATACAAGAAGAATCCGTGTTATAGTTCTAAGCCGATCCAAAAGGTGTCATTTCTTTTTTATGCATTGGATGTGAAACTCCTAACAACACATGTGGTTCTTGTGAACATCACTTAATACATAACCATTGTATTCCAATTTCTGCATTTGAAATTGTATTTCTGATGCTATCGATCCTAACACTTAAACCATTTCTTGCAGGGAAAAGCAACAAGGGCACAAGGTCTTTTTCTGAACTACTTTTGGAAAGCTATTTAGTTTGCATCTTTTAGTGTAATCAAGTCTTTTCCTTAACTGCTCAATTTGGCTTTCTTGCTTGTTTTAGTCTATGTATTTTGGCACTTCATTAAACTAAACAAGTTTTCATATTCAACCTACACCATGATATATCCAATGTTGCTACTTGCTAGGTTAGGTTTCAGTTGATTGGTAACTCATTGTAAATTTTCTTTCACTTTCTTGACAAAGCTAGAAATGGGTAGATTTTAAAGTACAACGCCTTAATAAAAAAATATGTAAGGTACAATCTTTTTCTTAATTCCTATATTAAGAATTTTCTATCATATAACTACAACTTTAAAAGGTTTTACACTTGGAATATCTGAATTTATCAATGACTTTCTTTGTCTTCTGTCGAAATGTTGATTATTTTGTCAGTTTCGAGTACTATGGATATTATATTTGTTTGACCTGTGTGCTATTGAGTTAATTTTGAGTACTTGGAATATTTGAATCTATGCATGACTTACTTTGTCTACTTATTATCCAAAGAAAAAATGACATTTTTAACAAATTTCTCCATGACGAGTGTCAATTATAACATCTCTCTAATAGGTTGGCAAAAAGAAGTTAAAATGCCCGGTATATTGGTCAAATAAATAATCTTAAGGCCCTTTTGTACTGCATTTGGCATGCATTGTATTAGGTGGGACTGATGTCAATGAATCGAAAGTTGTAATGTTTTGTCCCAACCAAAATGGTGGAAGAAAGTCGGACAACCTGTATAGTTATGTACTTTCATCTATTTGTGTATAATAGCATCAAAGTTTCATTTCTTTCTATTACAACATACTACTTTCAGATTTTACTTACCAATGAATTGCACTTTGGAAACTTTTACCCGGTTATAGCATTGTTTTTTATCCCTTTTTTATATTCTAGCAGTGAAAATTGTTTTGCATTCAGAAAACATTAATTTTTATCATTGTTTTTTTAAGTAGAATGGTGTAATAGGAATCAATATAAGTAGGAGGCTATAATACACAAAATCAATGAAAGTACATTGCTATTTATTTCATTTAGCACAAATTTCATTTAACTAAAAAAGAGGTCATACCAAATAGCGAATAAGGTTTTTACCATCTTTTTACCTTGTCATTGGCAGCCACCTCTGACCCGTGCTAAATCCCCCAGATAGCAAGAAGAAAGTGTAGTGGTGATTCCACACATCCATCAGTTCTTGAGAAGGCTCTTTGTTCACGGGGACTCACACAACTTGCGAACCTATAAACCCGAGAGTGCTACTTCAAGTCCTTCGGAATTCCATTGCGTTTATTCTTGTTTATACTTTCTACTCTCCAAAATTAAAATAGTATATGCATGTGAAATACTTACTAACGAATAAGACTTGAAAGAGAACATCTAATACATTAAAGAGACTTTGTTTGGCAAGACTTGTGTTACTTTTTCATTTTTTTTGTAATTTACTATTCCCAACTAGGTTTGTTTTCCAAACTTTTGATAAATGTTCTTTTGACTTTTGTAAAATTGATATCAGAAAGCCTCAATTGTATTCAAGAACCAGGACCGATATATACACAACATACTTATCAAGAAAAGTAAAAGATCATAGGGATGAAGGGAAGGAAGCTATATACCTTCCTAATCTAATACAAATCTCCATATCAGAAGGTAAATATATGTATAGATAAAAATCAAGAGACTATTGTGTACTGAATCAAATTCTCGGAGAATGGAAATAGATATTTGGATGGTTCAACTTGTGCCATGATAAGCCCCAACTTTACTAGTTTATGGCCAAAGGGGTATTTTGTAACATCTTGTTTCCTTCCATTTCTGGGTCGTGAGCCAGAAGTCGATTGTAACGCCTGTGTTTCTAGGCTAGGCATTAAATATGATGTAATAGTCTAGGCCAACCTTGGTAATTTGTTTTGAAGTAATAAAAAAGTATTATTGGAGTATTATGTGTTTTATACTTAATTATTATGATTTAATAAGTTCAGGATAAAAATAAGTGTCGAAAATAAATGTTAGATAAACCCGATATCGTCGAAGAAAGTTGTAGTGGTTGAAACAAAGATTCCGGAGATATAAAGAATACCGAAATCCGAGTTATAACGAGGAAGTTATGACCTATCGAAGTTTCGCGACAGAACCGACACGACGCTGTGTGGCGTAAAAAGTGAATTTACGATAAAGTGCTTTTTAGCCTTAGCGATCTAAATGAAAGTCGCAGTGTTCGTTAAACCGAGAGCGTGCATAAAAAGAACGCCCAAATCTGACTTCGTATGAGGAAGTTATGATTTTTCTAAGATTTGGCATAGCAGTATGAAGCCCGAAACTTGAATTTTAGATCGAGTGATTTTTAACCAAAATTACCTAAACGAGAATCAAAGATCTTGTTGATAGTAGTTCAACGGTAAAAAGACAAACGAAAACGGACGTCGGATGAAGAAGTTATGAATTTTTAACGGACTTTTCCTGTCCTGGCCTGTTAAATATATAACTTTAAAAATAAGGTCAAATTAGCCGACCAAGTCTAAACAAAAGTTGTAGATTATAATCTCACCTACGCGTGGATATAAAGAACGTCAAAAACGGAGCTCGTATGCGAAAGATATGGATTTTTGAAGTTTTGGGCACAAACTTCGAGCCTCGTCCGAAGGAGTACGCCCAACGTACCGAAGTACGCCCAGCGTACTCGTGTAAGTGATCCGGAGCCCGTCACCCCCTACTCCTTCGCATGATGGACACGTGTCGTAGCCTTGACACGTCCGAGCTGATCCCCTCGTACGCCCAGCGAAGGGCCTTGCGAGGCAGTACGCCCCACGTACATGAAGATTACGTCCAGCGTAATCAGGAGCTTTGGTCTCCTATAAATAGGATGCGAGGCTGCCCGGTTTATGTTTACAATTTTCACACCTTTACACCTTCTACTTCCCTTTTAGCCTATCCTAAACCCCCCAAAGCCTAGGGACCATCCCAACACCGGAAGAAAGCCCCGAGCCCCGAAGTCTCCGAGAAAAAGAGTTTTTTGAGTTGAAACTCTGCCCGCGCAGAGCCCGATTTTTGAGAAAACATCCCGGTTTCTTTGAAAAAGATTGTTTTAAGGGACGAAGTGTTGTCCAATAATCGTCTTATAAAGTGAGTGTATAGTCACTTTCATCTTACACATAGATATGAAATATTTTATATAAAATACGTGTTATGTGTATATATGTTGTTGGTTTATTTGAGATGGATGTTGAATGAATGTTTTATACATATGTAGAATGATTTAAACTGTATATGTACTTTTATCTACAAATATGTTGGGTATAACATGGGTAGATGAAATAGCTGTTATGTGATGAAATAAAATGATGAGAGGTCTCGATGTTGATGATGTTCCAGTTATCTAGCAGAATATAGATGTCGACCATGGACTTTTCTAGACAGTCCATTGGAATATTAACAGGCTCGTAACTTATAGGTGTTTTTGAACTGAGTGTTCACTAGGTGTTTCTGAACTAGGTGTTCATTAAGTATTTTGAACGGAGTGTTCACTTGATATTTTGATTTAAGTATTCACCAGTTGTAATCTAAATATCCTGGCAGCTCCGTCTAAAGGATAATATTGACAGATGTGCCTAATAGATACAATATAATCCTGGCAGCTGTGCCTAAAGGATAATATTGGCAGCTGAGTCTAATAGAGAACGTCATAATCCTGGCAGCTGCGCCTAATAGATAATATTGGCAGTTGTGCCTAATAGAGGATAATATTGGCAGCCGCGCCTAAAAGATAACACTGGCAGTTGCGCCTAATAGATAATATTGGCAGCTGTGCCTAATAGATGATATTGGTAGCTGCGCCTGGTTAAGAACAACACAATCCTGGCAGTTGCGCCTAAAGGATAATATTGGCAGATGCGCTATTGGTAACGATGGACCTTGTGCCTATTCCTTAGGACAATCCTTCGGAATGAATGAGTGAATGGTAGAGGATTCTTAGGGTGGAACCTTAAGAAACTGCACAAGTATTCCTTAAGCAGTGTTGTTACCCCGATGATGATCCTTAGGCTAGCTCCCTTATGATAGGTGTTTAGGGACGTAAAGTGAGGATAACAGGAACGGGTAATCAGGGTTATTGTTGGTTGATGAAATTAATAAATTTATTGTTGGTTGAATAAAATTAATAAATTTATTTATTGTGGGTTGAAAACCCTATATGCTCACCAGGCTCTCAAGCCTGACCCACTCAGCTTTTTATATTACAGGTAGTGGAACAAGAGCATAGTTGGACGATGACGAGAGATTTTGGATTATAGGTCAGTAGATATAAATAACTGTTGTAAGGCCTATATGGTATTATTTATGCTTTTGGTCTATATCGGAACATGACACCCGAGGTTTTATAATATACTGAAAATTCATTTCTTTAAGAAATGTTTTGATAAATTTTTATCATATTTTGTTTTGGGGAAAAATTCTGCAACACCTTTTGAAAGATTACTCTGGTTTTATTTTAAAAATCGTAAATGAAATCGGTTTTTTCTGGCCGAGAAAATTGGATGTCACAGTTGGTATCAAAGCATTACTTTAAGAGAACTAGGAATTTGTAGGATTTCTAGACTTAAACTTAGAATGCTAAGTGATGATCGTGAGATGAGTGGCTACCATATTTTAGACACAAGCACTAGTATATTTTAAGAAAGATGCCTAAAATGCTTTTATATGCTAAATGCTATATGTTTGCCATATATGATATTATTTGTTCGGATCTATGGTCTGTTGTCGACCGGATCTGTAAACCTTATGTGTTCAGGATTCTAAGCGTATGACTACGATATTAGAACTAGCATGTAACGTTTCGGAGAATTTAAGTGTCTATCATGAATAAAGATCTAAATTCGCCAAATTTGGTGTATAGAGCAAAATGGCAAGAACCCGAAGTGGAGCTGAAAATGCGAATAGGAATCAGCAACCTCAACCCCAAGTGATTGAGCAGGTGCCGGTGGTAGAAGCTGCACCAGAACCAATCACAATGGCTGGAGTACAAGCCATGATTCAGGCTATGATGGCTTAACAAAGGGAAGAAAGGAGACAACTATTGCTGAACAACATGAATGAACCTTCAATGCCTGATGAATAACCTGAATTAAATCACAGTCAGTCAGAGGAAGGAAATTATAGTAGATCTGTTGGTCAAGCTGAACTGCTTGTGGTTAGGAGGAATAACCAGGACGACGAAGTCGAGAGAAATGGATGCAAGTACAAAGACTTTATGACTTGCAAGCCGTCAACTTTCACTGGAAAGGAAGATCCCGTCGGAGTAATGGATTGGATCTCAGAAATGGAATTGGCCTTCATGACATGTGGTTGTCAAGGCAAGTTACAAACCATATTTGCAGTGTGTCAGTTCAGAGGTGGCGATGTTCGTTGGTAGAACACTCTGGGGAAGACCCTAAGCCCTAAAGAGCCACTGCAACTGACTTGGGCAAAGTTCTTGGTGGATTTCAACCGCAAGTACTGCTCGGCCCAAAATCTGCTTGGGCTAGAGAACCAATTTCTGACATTGAAGAAGGGAAGTGTGTCCATCGATGAATACACCAATAACTTCATAGATAAAATGGAGTTTGCTTTGCGTATTGTTTCAAATGATCTGACAAAAATCGACAGGTACGCAAAGGGACTTCCATGGGAGTACGCAGTGACAGTGCGTCAGGCACTTACTCTGGAGGCAGCTATCTGGGCTGCCAAGTCTGTTGAAGAGATGATCAAGGGAAGAGCCGCCATCAAGGTTGAAGTTAGCGATAAGGAAATTCGATGGATCATCAAAATCCAAGAAGAAGAGCAAGTCTGGTTCAAAGTTTGAAGATGGAGGTGAAGCAAGATGGTGTGATAAGTGCAAGAAGAAACACTTTGGAAAATGTGGCGAGGAGGTGACATGTTTCAAATGTGGAAAGTATGGGCATTACGCCAATGAATGTACATTCAATAAAAGGGTGTGTTATGAATGTAATGAAGAAGGGCACTACAAGCAAGATTGCCCAAAGAGGAAAGGAGCTACAAAGCTAAACGTACCTCTGAAACCAAAGGAAAAAGCATTCCCGATGATTCTTAATGAAGCAGGCGAGGATGCAAGGGATCAGGAGTAAGGACTATATGTTCCAAAATCAAGATATAACGCAGCCA